CACGAGCAGGGGGCAGACTCAGGACCAGACCTGGACGCCGCAGCAAACACCTGACCCGACGCGGCTACCTGAGCAGACTCAGTGACCGGAGGAGACTCAGTAGTCAGTGTGTACAGGCTCGACCCCGGCTGACGGGTAAACGTGGCCAAGTGACGGCCCGTCCGAGCACAGGTACAGTGGGTCACTCGCTGACTCGCAGGAGTGAACTGGTGAACCCCTCCATCCTGCAGATCAGCACCACTCACCAAGTTCGTAGAGAACGAGGGGAGGTAAAGACCCGACAGGGTGCCAGAAGGGGCCGCCGGACACGGTAAGATAGTGGAGAAGTGGGCAAGGACAGGACCCCCAGAGGGGTCTGCCAGGGAGACTGCCACTGGCCGACTAAGCGGCGTAAGCGTGGTGCGGTCTCGAAAGAAGGAGCGGGAAGCACCCGAGTCAAGGGTGAAAGTGTGGGTGGCCGGGGCCGACGCGGTACCTGAGAGCGCAGACTCACCAGCACCTAGGGCAGCAGACTCACTAGCACCTAGAGCAGCAGCCTCACCAGCACCTAGAGCAGCAGTCTCAATGCCCAGGTCAGGCGGAAAACACCGGTAACAGTCACCCTCATCACTAATAGTCACAGAATACATCGCAACAAGAATAGCATCATAATCAAGATCAAAGATCGCAACACCCGCCCTAGACAGCTCGCCCCAGCGAGGGATCTCAGTAGCGTCGGGGAACTGATGACGCCAAGCGTCTGTCAGGCGGCCGAAGCAGCGCTGGGTGGAGTGCAGACCCCCACACTGCTCACCCGCGCGGTCGCCTGTACGCAGAACGTAGGTACAGGGGCCAGCACCCCCACCCCGCTGACGAGCAGTGTACCACTCACGAAGCTGCTGGGGGGAAGGGGTCTCACGAGTGCGCTGCTGCTGCTGCTGCTGGCGCTGACCACCACCGGAGCCGACCCTCTGCGAAGAGCCGCCCCGACCAGCTCCACCGCCGCCGCCGCTACCTCCACCACCGCCTCCACCTCCACCACCTCCGCTCGCACCGCCACCACCGCCGCCTCCTCCGCCTCCACTGCCGCCACTGGCGCCCCCACTCCCGCCACCACCCCCACCGCCACCCCCACCCCCTCCGCCGCCTCCACCGCCACCCCCACCCCCTCCGCCGCCTCCACCGCCGCCTCCACCGCCCCTGCCAGCCCCTCCAGCGCCCTTGCCCCCCTTGCCCTTGCCGGGGCGGCGTCTCCCGCTAGGGGCAGACGCCGCGCCGACCGACTCAAGACCAACGAGGTCGGCCGCAGCAGCAGAGGCAACAGAGGGCAAGAGGGGGGAGGGGGAGCACCCCTCAAAGACAGGGGTGCGAGGGTCACCACGAGAGGCTCCTACAGCGACTATACTATTTTCTGCCGCTAGGAGGCGCTCCTCGAGGAGGTCAACGGTGAGGGTGGTGGGGCAAACAGAGAGGAAGTGGTCCCTGACCGAGCGAAGGGTGTCAGGGAGCCGGGTGACTATGTAGTAGAGGGTGATGTACATAGGGGGGGGTTCTTGGCGCAGAACTCAGCAGGAAGCGCAGCGCGGTAGCGAATGTCACTAGTGTGAAGGTGCGTAATGAGGTCAGCGACTGTGGGAAAAGCGGCGAGGTCAGGGAAGAGGTACGGCAGAATGAGGCGGCTAAGGGCAGCAGTGGCAGGGGAAGAGTAGCGCGCAACGACAGCGTCGTACAAGGTCTTAGCACTCTTGTACTGACTAAAATGCGCGCGCTCAGCGGTCGGTAAGTGGCGGCGCACAGCAAGGCGAGCAGCAGCATCGCGTGTGGCCCACTGTGAGCGAACAGTGGCATCAGCATTAGTAGACGGGGCAGGAGAGGCACCAGACGTGAGATCGAAAAGGGAGAGACCGTCTGCCCTATCGCACTGTAGGAAAAGCTGCAAGTCATCGACCCAGACCTCAAAGTCAACAGCTCGACCCTCAGCATCAAAGGTAAGGACACTGGGGGTAGCCATGACAGCAGCAGTCTAGGGGTGAGAGCGGCAGGCTCGAGGTAGTGCAGTGGGAGAGACGCTGCGCGGGAAAGCTCTCACCAGTCCGAGTGGGGAGGGCCGGGGCGCGCCGGCAGTAACAGGGCCGCAGCTGCGGCGGCGGTGGTTCGGCGGCTCAGCAGCGGCTCGGCGGCGGCTCGGCGGCTCGGCGGCGGCTCGGCTGCGGCTCGGCGGCTGCTTGGCGGCTCGGTGGGGGCTCGGCGGCTCGGCGGCTCGGCTGCAGCTGTGGCGGCTCAGCGACGGCGGCGGCAGGGCCGGTGTAGGGCGGCGACAGGGCCGCGGAAGGGCGGCGGCGGGGCCGCTAGAGGGCGGCGACGGGGCCGCTGGAGGGCGGTGACGGGGCCGCTGAGGGGGGGGCGGCGGGGCCGCTAGAGGGCGGCGTTGGGGCCGCGGTAGGGCGACGACGGGGCCGCTGAAGGGCGGCGGTGGGGCCGCTAGAGGGCGGCGACGGGGCCGCGGTAGGGCGGCGACTGGGCCGCTGAAGGGTGGCGGCGGGGCCGCCAGAGGGCGGCGACGGGGCCGCGGTAGGGCAGCGACGGGGCCGCTGAGGGGCGGCGGCGGGGCCGCGAGAGGGCGGCGCAAGGGGCCGTAAGGGGCCGTGAGGGGCCGTGAAGGGCGGCGACGGGGCCGAGACGGGGCCGCGAGAGGCCGCGAAGGGCGGCGACGGGGCCGTGAAGGGCGGCGTCGGGCCGCGAAGGGGCCGCGAGGGGCGGCGCGAGGGGCCGGAAGGGGCCGCGAAGGGCGGCGCGAGGGGCCGTAAGGGGCCGCGAGGGGCCGTAAGGGGCCGCGAAGGGCCGTGAAAGGGGCCGCGAGGGGCCTTAAGAGGGCGTGTCGGGCCGCTAGGGGCTAGGGACGCGACGGGAGGGAGGGCACACGGGGCGCGACTCGGGCAGGAGGGAAGCGCGCTCCGGGCAGGAGTAAAAAAAGTTGATCGTGGTGGGCCCTAGGAAGCGTTCCCACTAGGGAACCTGCTCTATACCATGTGAAGTTTAGAACGAGAAAAATGATGAACTAGGAAATGAGCTGGGTACAAATATGAAACCCTAGAAAGCTGTACCCCATACTGTCTACCCCACTACAGCCTAGAAAGACTATAGCATATAAGTTCGACACATTTGCCACCCAAAACCCAGAACCCTAGCGAACTGTTACTGCGGATGGAAAGTGTCCGCACGAAATCCTGGTTTTCGCCAGCCAGCACTTTCGCGCTGGCAAGCCTTGTTTTAAAAAAAAAATGGAAAGTACATGTTAGCTCCATATTTTCAGAACTCTCTCAAAATTATTCCTAAGTTCACTCAAACAGTCCAAGTTTGTGGAATTTTGCTCACGCGAGGCCCAAATTATGTTCGAAACAGGTCCTGCGGGGCTTAACTCTCGACACGTGTCCATTTCGTACCAAGAATTTCTCGACGGGGCAAAAAAACATAATACCCCTAGCGAAACCAGGACACTTTTAGGGAGGGATCAACCCTAAACACGGGAACCCGCCCGGTCTTTAGGGTTGATCCCTCCCGAAATGTGCTCCGTCACCCTTGGGGTATTATGTTTTGTTTACCCCGTTAATAAAATATTGGTGCGAAATGGACACGTGTTGAAATTTTGGCCCCGCAGGACCAGTTCTGAACATAATCTGGGCCTCGCGTGAGCGAAATTCCACAAAGTTGGACTTTTTGGGTAAACTCGGGAGTAAATTTGAGATATTTTTGAAACTAAGGACCTGGCATCTACTTTCCCAAAAAAAAAACTTCTGAACCCAACACTGCCAAAAGTTGCCCGTCGCTTTTATGGCTCCACTTGATGCCCTCCACTTGCACAGCACAGCTACGCAGACACTTGTCAAGCAGTTGTTTGCCGTGGTGAAGGGTGCGAACGCACGCCAACATCGTGTCACCGCCAGTGAGCTTCGTGCGACGGCTGTATTTCTCTCCGCAGGACGTTCTGTATGAGTGCCAGGGGCAGACACTGGTCAGCGCATTCGACGCTCACAGCCCGCTTTCCGAGGGAATGCGAAGGATTGCGTCACGACGGAACAGAAGGAACGTACGCTTAGAAGCCAGACTAATTTCTCGAACTCTCACCTTCAGCTGAAACCATTGCTCCGAGTTTCACCGGGACTATCATGTAGATGCTTCTGCTCCCAATAATTATAAGAATCACGTACTCGTATGGACTACGACTAACAACAGCAATAACCGCGCCATGATTCATCTGAGAGTGTCTTTACCTCAACAGTGGTTTCCTCCTGTTGCGATCAAGCGGGTGTAACTTCGACGCACAGCCTCTTCAATTAGACGGTGCGTTCTTTATTCCAGTGGACTGATATACCGCATTCAGCGGCGCGTGCCGCTTTTCAGAGTGAAATCAAGAGTCTCCTCGTCCTCGACTTATACTCGGACCACCTACCTGCGCTGTGCGCTGTCGCTGCGGCCGACTCCAACTCCGTCGGACCTTATCCACACCTCGCAAGAACCATTCGCACCGAATTGGCTGGTCTCCTCCGCAGCGACTCGCGGCGATCCCAATTTCCCCGCCGGGCTGCTCTGTCGCACCACCGCACATCCATTTCTTTCCGCCATCGCGACACCACCCGCCCACAGCCCACGCGACCGACCACGCCGCGGCGACTCTGAAGTATCGAGCAGGCTCGAGGAGGGCCTTGCCACACACCCACGCGTTATCATCCCACGCACCCACGCTTCCACACACCCACGCGTTCACGCGCCCATCCCCCACACGCTCACTCCTTCACCCGTTTGCCCAACCTTTCTGAGTCGACTCGAAAGTCACCACCTATCCGCCCCCTTCTCCAGCCACGCACCCACCACCTCCCACCCCTCAACACCCCTCACTCCCGTCCCGTCACCCCCGTCACGCCGCCCTCACCGCTCATCCTTGCCGCGACGGGAACCCAACCCAACCCAACCCAACCCAACCCAACCCAACCCAACCCAACCCAACCCAACCCAACCCAAGCATGGGGTCCATTCTCGAGGAGCACAACGTGCGGCTGCTGGGTTCGCCGGACTCCTCGGCGTCGGAGCTCGTGGTGCTAGGCCACGGGTTCGGAACAGACCAATCCGTGTGGCAGCACATCGTGCCGCACCTACTAGACGACGACTACCGCCTCCTGCTCCTAGACCTCATGGGCGCGGGGTCGACCAACCCGGACAACTTCTCCTTCGCGCGCTATTCGTCGCTGCACGGGTACGCGGACGATCTGCTGGCGATTCTGGAGGAGGTGGGCGCGCAGCAGTGCACGTACGTGGGGCATAGCGTGTCGGGCATGATCGGGTGCATTGCGGCCATTGCTCGCCCCGAGGCGTTCAAGAAGATTGTGCTCATCGGCGCGTCGCCCAGGTGCGGTGCGGGGGAAAGGGACGGTGTGGGGGGGGGGGGGGGGGGGGGGGGTTGGGGGGTGGGGGGTGGGGGGGTGGGTGGGGGGGGAATGAGGTGACTTTTGAGTCGACTGGAAAGTCGCCCCGAGGCGTTCAAGAAGATCGTGCTCATCGGCGCGTCGCCCAGGTGCGGTGCGGGCGCGCGGGGGAAGAGGGGGGTTGGAGGGAGGGGCAGGACGGTGGCGGGGTGGGGTGGGGGGGAAAGAAGCCATGGGGGAGTTGGTGAGGGTTGCATTCTTGCCACGCGTAAATCGAAGTCTCCTTCCTCCCTTCCTTCCAGCCCTGTCCCGTCCATCGCGCCCACCCTCTCCCAGCATTGTCCTCCTCTCCGCTCGTTTGCTATCTAATTGTCTGGCACACCTTCCGGTCCCCACATTCCTCTTCCCCTCCTCTTCCCTCCCATTTCCTCCGCTCACCTCCTCGCCGACTCCACTCTCCGAGCTCTACCCACTGACTTTTCCCCCATCCACAAACCCCAACCACAACACAAACTCTCTCCGTTCGCTTCCTTCCCCCGTCCCATCCTGGCGACCTCCCCCTTCCTGCGTCCCTCCCCCACCACCTTCCCTCTTCCCTCACATTCTTGTTCTCCTCCCTTCCGCCCTCCACCTATTGCGACCCCCTCTCCACCGCCTCCCTCCACTCCCTCCTCCCTCCCACCAGGTACTTGAACGACGTGGATTATTTCGGGGGCTTCGAGCAGGAGGATCTGAACCAGCTGTTCGCCGCCATGCACTCCAACTTCCGTGCGTGGGTATCCGGCTTCGCGCCCCTGGCAGTGGGCGCGGACATCAACTGTGCGGCGGTGCAGGAGTTCAGCCGCACCTTCTTCTGCATCCGCCCCGACATCGCTCTCTCCGTCTCCAAAACCATCTTTCAATCCGACATGCGCTCCATCCTGCCGCAGGTGAGCGCAGGGGAGCGGCACGGCAGGGCCGGAGAGAGGGCTGCCATGCCGGTGGGTGGAAGCGGCTCTCGTGGTTGGTTGTTGCGTCGAGTCGAGTGGAGTCGAGTCGAGTCGGGGTAGGGTGGGATGGTGGCGCAGGTGTGTGCTTCGGTGGCCATGAGTGTGCCCGCCGTGCAGGAGTGGGGGCGGTGCAGGCGTTCAGCCGCCACACCTTCTTCTGCATCCGCCCTGACATGGCCCTCTCTCCATCCGTCCGCATGTCGCTCCATCCATGCGCTCCGTCCAGTCCGACATGCGCTGCTGCGCTCCATCCTGCCTGCCCCAGGTGGTGCCAACTACCCCTCCTCACGCTCTCCGTGTGCTGCTCTGGAGGGGTGCGTGTGGAGTGGTTTCTCCGCTCCATGCGCATCGTTTCATCCGTTTCTTCTCTCCTTGCACTCCCACCTTGATGATGTCGCATACAGACAGGCAAGCTGACTCCCCATCATCGTCTTCCACTGTCCACAGCACCACACACCTCCAGCCTCCAATCCTCACCGCAATTTCCCCCCCCCCCCCATTCTCCCTTCTCCCCCCCCTCCCCCCTCCAATTCCCCCCTCTCCCCACCCACCCTTTCCCCTCGTCCCCCCATCCGCACCACCTTTTCATGTCCCGACTCCTCCCTTTCTCCCCTCCAGGTGAAGGTCCCCTGCCACATCCTGCAATCGAGTCAGAACCTGCCAATACCATTAGCTATTCCTTGAAAGTCAACCCTCCGTGTCTCCCCACTCCCCCAGGTGAAGGTCCCCTGTCACATACTGCAGTCGTGCCAGGACCTGGCGGTGCCGGTGGCCGTGGCGGAGTACATGCACGCGCACCTGGGCGGCAAGAGCGTCGTCGAGATCTTCCCCACACACGGCCACTTGCCACAGCTCTCTGCGCCCCACATCGTCATCCCCGTTCTCCGCCGCCACCTCCGGGGCAACCTGTAGCTTGGGGAAGTAAAAAGGGGAGGGGGAAGGGGGAGAGGACAGGAGGAGAGAGGGGGAGCTTTAGCAGCACCTGCTGCAGCTCTCCGCTCCCCACAACGTCATCCCCGTGCTCCGCCGCCACCTCCGGGGCAACCTGTAGCTCGCTCCGTTTCTTTGAGAAGTTAAAAAAATAAACAAAACACAGATTCACCTGTGCTGCCACCTGTAGCTGGTTCCGCGGAGGGGAGATGTGACTTGCATGTGCATGGACTCACAAGTCACCTCATGCTCAGAGGAGACATGTAGCATACGGGGACGTGAAAAAGGTGGAAGGGGAGGAGGGGAGGGAGGGGGGAGGTGGGGAGGACAGGGAGGAGAAAGGGGGGGCGTTAGCAGCACCTGCCACAGCTCTCCGCACCGACATCATTATCCCCGTGCTCAGATGCGCGGCCACCTGCAGCTCGCTTTAGTGAGGGGAGGGAGATGGGCCGTGGTGTGACTTGGATGCTGCGTCGACTTTTGAGATTTCTCGAAACTGGTGCAGTCAGAGGCCACCTGTGAGGAGGTGACTTGGAGTTGCCGACTCAGAAGTCAATCCGTGTTCAGACGCTGTCTTGAGCCCACCTCTAGGGCTGGGACGGAAGAGGTGTGGGAGGGGAGGGGAGGTAAAGAGGGCAGCTGTAGTGGGGAAAAGGGGGCAGCTGTAGAGGAGCGAAGTGGGGTAGCCGTAGTGTGTTGGCGTGTTAGTGCAGGGTTGATATGGTAGCTGTAGTCGTGACTGACGTTTGCAGCACTTGCCACATCAGGGCAACGGCAGTAACGGAGGAGAGAGGAGGAGAAGGGGGGAAGGGGGGAGGGCAAGTGAGACGTGGGGGGACACCATAGTTCCTGGAGTAGCAGTAGCAGTGGCAAGTGACAGGCTTGGTGCACCACAGCCACGGGTACCATGACGTGCGTTTTTTTCCATGTGCATGGTGCACTCGTAAATACAAGAATGCACTCCCCACCACTCCTGCCTGACTGACATGTGACCCATGATGAGTCATGACCCATTATCTTTGTTGGTGATGCTTGGGCCATGGCGTGTGAGCAATAGCAGAAAATGGAGCTGCTGCTGGTAACCAGCGGCAGCATGGCGACGAGGGCTTGGTTGCTCGGAGGGCTTTTATTCTATTTCCAGTATTGCACACACCGTTCCTTGTGAGGTGAAGAGACGAGGTTGGTTGGTTAGCACGTAATACGTAACTGCAACCAAGTGAAATGGACTGGGTCTATTGCATCTGCTGCAGCAGGCACACACACGTCACCTCACACCGACTGCAGCTTTTATTTTCTCTTGCTAATGATTCTGGCAAAATAGGCTTCATGTTTATCTGAAACCGCATATACCGTACAACAGGGAGAAACAGGGAAAGCAGTTCCTAGGCTCTAGCGTTTAGAACAAGTGGAACTGAAAGACGGGTCAGTGAGCAGTACAAGCAACTAGAATCTCCTCCTGCTCAACTGCCTCAAGAGCTCCCAGACGCCATTACCACAAGGAGAGACGAGGCGAGGCGAGGCGAGACGAGACGAGGCGAGGCCTTGCTGTGCACACGACAGACAGCACCAGGCTGCGTGGCCACTCCTTCAACCCCCACCACATCACCCCTCGCCTCCTCCTTGCCTGTCTCCCGTCGCCTGTTGCCCCCTGGACCGCTGGCCTGCTCACCCCCTTGCGTGGCCTCCCTGCCTCCCTGCCTGCGCAATGCAGTGCAGGGCTGCCTCAGAGGTCGGAGTGGGTGTTGATGGCGGCGTGCACCTTCATGCGCAGCGTGCCCTCCGCGAAGCTGTCCGCCGTGTCGTCCGCCCCGCCAATGTGCTCCCCGCCCACAAACACCTGCGCCGTATGGGCATGGGGAGGGGGAGCGGGAAGGGGAGAAGGAGGGGGAGCAGAGCGGACGGGGAGAGGAGGATGGCGGGAGAAAGAGTAGTGATTTTAGGGCGGACGAGGGAGGCGGGTAAGAGGGGGAGTGGATGCAAGAAGTAGGGGAGGAGGGAAGGAAACGGGATGGCAACAATTTGTCGTGGCTATCTGTGAATGTGTCCGTGGATGGCTGATAAGAAATCTCGAAGATTAATGCCGTGCAGCGCTCGAGGATGCAGGAGGGCGATTGAACAACGCGCAAATAGGCAGTTTGGAAAAGAGCGTCGCGTACAGATTTACATCCCCATGCACAGTCGTGCGCACTCACGAATCGCTTTCAAGAGCGTCGCATGCAGAAACACATCGTCACGCACACTCGTGAGCACTCACGAATGCAGACACGCATTTCAACGCGCTTTCTACGACTCCCCACCTTTAGATTCGACCTACTGCAGGTCACTTCTAATGCAGACCCCGCATACGCATAACTACGACTCTCTCTAGACTAGAGACGAAGCAGCGAGGGAGAAGCAGGCTGGGACAAGAGATCGGCTTGATTGCACTTTTGAGATTCCTCATAAGTGGCTGGGATAAAATTTAGCGTGAATACAGACACCAATTCCCCCGCGCGCGCGCGTACAGATATATCCTCACAATTGCAGACGCGCATCCCTACATGCGCGCGCTTCCCTACACCCGTGCATGCACCTACATCCGCGCACGCACACACAAACACGAACTCAAACTCACGCACACACACACACACACACACAAGCGCACCTGCGGCACGGTGCGGCGGCCGACGAGGTCCATGAGCACGTCCTGAATGTCCTGCCCGTCGTCGCGCTGGTCGAGCTCGACCACGTGCGGGTGCACGTTCAGCTGCTGAAACACCGCCTTGGCGCGCCGGCAGTACGGGCAGTACGACTTGGAAAAGATGACTATAGGCTTGGACTTGATGGTCGTTTTCACAAACTCGCTCAGGTGCGAGCTCGCTGCCACGTGGCTGCTCGTTATCGTGACGAGGAGCACGACGAGCGAGATTCCCGCGCGAAGGCTCGGAAAAGCCATGGCTGATGTTGATCGGTCGGTGCTGGTGCCGTTGGCGAGCAGTGGTGGTTAGTACCAATGAAAGTTGTTGCGAGATCCAAGCAGAACAAGATTCGACGTTTACGTCGGATGGGTTGCGTAGAGTTGTATCCTCGTACAAGAAACATTATGATGGTGAATATAAAAATTTACTGATGTAAAGCAAATTAGAATGTTAATTATATTTGGGTAGAATGGAATAAGCTTCAAAACTCCTCTTTTGCTGCTTTCAGCAGATATGCTGTTTTTTTTTACTCAGTGATTCTTCTGTGTATTAACAGAGAACTATTTGGATGTGAAATGTTTTTTTGTGTTTATAATAGACAATATTTTTTTACATCCATCTTACTGTATTGCGCTTACAATTTACTATAGTGGGAAGCAGTGTACTTTTTTCCTTTCACACCTGTCTGCTCGAATTCGACTTCCGTCTCCTTGGTTCTTGCTTCTTGGTTATTGGTTCTTGCTTCTTGCTGCTTGGTTCTCCCTTCAAATCCGCCCATTCCCGCCCAATCCTGCAGTCGCGCCTTACCTACCGTCTAGCTGTCCCTTACTCCTTTCCGCCCCTCTCCCTCTCACCCCGCCGTCGCGCTCTCTCCCACCCCGCCATCGCGTCTCTCTCCCTCCTAGCCGCCGTCGCCGCTCCCTCCCATCCCGCCATCGCCCCTCCCTCCTTTCCAGCCGCCGTCGCCTCTCCCTCCTCCCCGCCGTCGCCTCTCCTTCTCTCCCTGCCGTCGCCTCTCCTTCCCGTCGCCTCTCCTTCCCTCCCTGCCGTCGCCTCTCCTTCCCTCCCCGCCGTCGCCTCTCCTTCCCTCCCCGCCGTTGCCTCTCCTTCCCTCCCCGCCGTCGCCTCTCCTTCCCTCCCCGCCATCGCCTCCGGCGACGGGTGCACGAGCGCAAGCGCGGGTTGGTGCGCGGAGCGCGGGTAGGTGCGCCAGCGCGGGTTGTTTTCTGAGGCACCGTGGTTATCAGGTGCGTTCCCGGTCCTTTCATCCTCCTTCCCCCTCTGAATTTCCCTTGTTTTTTGCCCTGTGTCAATTGGTCTCCTCTTGCATTGCACTTTCATCTGACGAAGGGGAGAGACCAAGCGCGAGGGAGAGCGTGTGCACGGGAGCGAACGCGCAGGAGAGAGCGAAGGAGAGAGCGCAGGAGAGAGCGCGCGAGAGAGCGTGCGAGAGAGCGCGCGAGAGAGCGTGCGAGAGAACGCGTGAGAGAGGGCGTGAGAGAGCGCGTGAGAGAGCGCGTGAGAGAGCGCGTGAGGGAGCGCGTGAGGGTGCGCATGAGAGAGCGCATGAGAGCGCATGACGGTGCGCATTAGAGAGCGTGTGAGAGAGCGCAGGAGAGGGCGTGAGGGAGCGCGCGAGAGAACGCGTGAGAGAGCGCATGAGAGAGCGCGTTAGGGTGTGCATGAGAGAGCGCATGAGAGTGCGTGAGGGTGCGCATTAGAGAGCGTGCGAGAGAGCGCGTGAGAGAGCGCATGAGAGAGGCATGAGGTTGCGTATGAGAGAGCATGTGAGAGAGCGCGTGTGAGAGCGTGAGAGAGCTCGTGAGAGAGCGCGTGAGGGTGTACGTGAGGTGCGCGTGAGTGAGCGTGTGAGAGAAGCGCGTGAGAGAGCGCATGAGAGAGCGCGTGTTAGAGCGTGAGAGTGCGCGTGAGAGTGTGCGTGAGAGAGCGCGTGAGAGAGCGCGTGAGTGAGTGCGTGAGAGAGAGAGAATGCACGTGAGAGTGCGCGATGCGCGTGAGGGTGCGCATGAGAGAGCGCGTGAGAGAGCGCGTGAGGGTGCGCATGAGAGAGCGCGTGAGGGTGCGCGTGAGGGTGCGCATGAGAGAGCGCATGAGAGAGCGCGTGAGGGTGCGCATGAGAGATCGCGTGAGGGTGCGCGTGAGGGTGCACATGAGAGAGCGCATGAGAGCGCGTGAGGGTGCGCATTAGAGAGCGTGTGAGAGAGCGCGGGAGAGGGTGCGAGGGAGCGCGCGAGAGAATGCGTGAGAGAGGGCGTGAGAGAGCGTGTGAGAGAGCGCATGAGAGAGCGCGTTAGGGTGTGCATGAGAGAGCGCATGAGAGTGCGTGAGGGTGCGCATTAGAGAGTGTGTGAGAGAGTGCGGGAGAGGGTGCGAGGGAGTGCGCGAGAGAACGCGTGAGAGAGGGCGTGAGAGAGCGCGTGAGAGAGCGCATGAGAGAGCGCGTTAGGGTGTGCATGAGAGAGCGCATGAGAGTGCGTGAGGGTGCGCATTAGAGAGTGTGTGAGAGAGCGTGTGAGAGAGCGTGTGAGAGAGAGCGTGAGAGAGGCGTGAGGTTGCGTATGAGAGAGCATGTGAGAGAGCGCGTGTGAGAGCGTGAGAGAGCGCGTGAGAGAGTGCGTGAGAGAGCGCGTGAGAGAGCGCGTGAGAGAGCGCGTGAGGGTGCCCGTGAGAGAGCGCGTGAGAGAGCGCATGAGAGAGCGCGTGAGAGAGCGCGTGAGGTTGCGTATGAGAGAGCATGTGAGAGAGCGCGTGTGAGAGCGTGAGAGAGCGCGTGAGAGAGTGCGTGAGAGAGCGCGTGAGAGAGCGCGTGAGAGAGCGCGTGAGGGTGCCCGTGAGAGAGCGCGTGAGAGAGCGCATGAGAGAGCGCGTGAGAGAGCGCGTGAGGTTGCGTATGGGAGAGCATGTGAGAGAGCGCGTGTGAGAGCGTGAGAGACCTCGTGAGAGAGCGCGTGAGGGTGTGCGTGAGGTGCGCGTGAGTGAGCGTGTGAGAGAAGCGCGTGAGAGAGCGCATGAGAGAGCGCGTGTTAGAGCGTGAGAGTGCGCATGAGAGTGTGCGTGAGAGAGCGCGTGAGTGAGTGTGTGAGAGAGAGAGAGAATGCGCGTGAGAGTGCGCGAGAGAGAATGCGCGTGAGGGTGTGCATGAGGGTGCGTGTGAGAGAGCACGTGAGAGAGCGCGTGAGTGTGCGCGTGAGAGAGCGCGTGAGAGAGCGCATAAGGGTGCGCGTGAGGGTGCGCGTGAGAGAGCGCGTGAGAGAGCGCGTGAGGGAGCGCGTGTGAGAGCGTGAGAGTGCGCGTGAGAGTGTGCATGAGAGAGCGCGTGCGAGAGCGCGTGATTGAGCGAGTGGAAAAGCACGTGAGAGAGAGAATGCGCGTGAGAGTGCGCGAGAGAGAGCGCGTGAGAGTGTGCCTGAGAGTGCATGCGAGAGAGCGCGTGAGTGAGCGCGTGAGAGAGCGCGCGAGAGAGCGCGTGAGAGAGTGCGTGAGAGAGCGCGTGAAAGAGCGCGTAAGAGAGCGCGTGAGAGAGTGCGTGAGAGAGCGCGTGAAAGAGCGCGTGAGAGAGCTCGTGAAAGAGCGAATGAGCATGCTGGGGCATAGGCACTAGCATCTATTCTGCTGGTGCTTGGGCAACTGGGGCTACTTATACAAATGAGTGTCAATTATTGCACTAGCGCTTAGAGTGCCGGCTAAGGTGTCGACGCCTCAGACGCTCGTCTAGGCCGCTGGCAACTAGCGAGCTAGTGCCAAGCACGCTCGCTCAGCACGCTCTAACGCTTGGGCGCTGGCATGGCACCTAATGTGCCGCGCTTGAAGCGCTAGCGTTATGGCCTTTGGTCTTTGGCTTTCTTGTACAGTGTGTGATCACAAACTGTTTTTTTGGGCAAGGTGTGCTGTTGCTTTCTCTGTTTTGGCTTTCTTGTGCAGGGCGTGTAGATGTTGATTTCTCTGTTTTTGCTTTGTGCAGGGCGTGTTTGTGTTGACTTCTCTGTTTTTGCTTTGTGCAGGGCGTGTTTGTGTTGACTTCTCTGTTTTTGCTTTGTGCAGGGCGTGTGTGTGTTGACTTCTCTGTTTTTGCTTTGTGCAGGGCGTAAGTGTGTTGACTTCTCTGTTTTTGCTTTGTGCAGGGCACATGAGCTGAGAAGGGAGATGAGGGAGGGAGTGGGATGGAGATGAGGGAAGGAGGGAGGGAGGGTTGTAAGGAGGGTAAGGTGGGATAGGCTAGCAGTTATTTATGCATTTCTGAATTTTATTCATGACGGTTGCGTGTTTATTGCGGTCTCTGTATCTATCTGTGGTTGTTTGCATGTGTGTCAGTGTGTGCGTGTGCTTATGCGTGTGTGTACGTGCGCGTGTGCTTATGCGTGTGTGTACGTGCGCGTGTAAGCTTGTGTGTGCGATGTGTGCGTTTGTCTGTTTGCACCTGTCTGTCTCGTGTGTGCAACTGACGTGTGATGCTGAAGTGTGTCGGGTCTACATTTGAGGTGGGGATCGTTGTTGGGGCAGCGTTGCTTGCCTTAGCATACCGGAACCATCTCTGTTGTAGCACCGATGCATCTTAGCATTCACTCGCTATTGTTATGTGTTGTTTTTGCACGTGTTATGCAACTGAGGTGTGATGTTTAAGTGTGTTGGTTCTGCATTTGAGGTGGGGATCGTTGTTGGGGCAGCGTTGCTTGCCTTAGCATACCGGAACCATCTCTGTTGTAGCACCGATGCATTTTAGCATTCACTCGCAGTTGTTATGCGCAGCTTTTGCTCGTGTTGAATGGATGCACATGATTTGCATTCATGACCAGTGGGTGTTTTTCTCGTCCATTGTGTTTGATGACGACCACCAATTGTTCCATTCGCCGTATTTATCGACGATTATGGAATGATAGGTCACATTTGGTTACACTTTTTTGGAAACTCGTGTGTATCAGTGCTGTCATCTCCACACATTTGGAACACTCGTTATCAAAACGATCAAACGAGTGGTTCGGACGTTGTGAAAATGACAAAAACTGCACTGTTCATTTGAGTCGACCGAAAAGTGCTACCAAATGTATAAGGTTGCTACGCAACCCAAAAATGGCGTTTCCCTGCTGTGGTTAATGGCTGCAGAGAGTGGATTGCGACAGGGGAGTTCGGGTATGATTTGGTCCGGTCCGGTCTCGTGTCGAATGCCAAGCTTCCAGGTTTGGAAAGAGAGGCGAAGTAGAGTGGGGAGGAGCGCGGAAGAGTGGAGAAAGGTGCAGTGGTGTCGGAGAGCTCAGAGAACGAGAGCGAATTGAGGGTTTCCCATCCCGTGCCCTGATTCCCAAACACCCGCCCTACTGAACTCTTCAGTACACACGTTCTCCAACCCACACAAGCAAACTGGCCTTTGGGCGTGTCCCACGAATTCGTTTAGAGTTCATGTGCACCCTTGTAACCCTGTTTCTGCTTTTGTAACCTTTAATACTGGACAACTGTAGTCATCTGTCTTCAATGACGCGCGACATTGACGCGCTGAATGCGTCAAAAGGTTCGTATTAAAAGCGTTCAAAAACGGCTTTCAAGGTTCGTACCCTCACATCAAACAGGTCCGCGTAACCCTCACTCCCAATCTCAGAATTTGCCCAGGAAAAGGCGAACGGCCAATTTTGGCACTGTCGTTTCGCAGCCGGCCCGGGTTGCCGCTCGCGAACCATGTTGAATGTGATTCGGGATACGAGTTTTGTGTGAGCGGAGTGCTGAGTCGGCATGGTGCAACTTCGTTTGGCGCAGCGCTGACGCGCTGCGATTTTTTTTCCGTCTTAGTGTACACTACGCTGCTTTGTCGAAGTTACTTACCGTCATCGCCCGGATATAAGACATGTATCTTATCTCATACATTAAAAAAATCAGTCTTATAAATGGACAAAAATCCGTTTAGAAGATACTTCCTCGTTATACATTTGCCATTTGCCCCTACACACAAATAGGTGTCTTATAATGAGGCTACCCCGTTTATAAGAGACACCCGTATAATAGACAACCCCTGTCTACTATTCAACACTGTCTTATATCCGGGTGATGACGGGTAACAATCACGATTTTTTTCCCAAATGAACTCATGGGACACGCCCTTAAAACCCGCGTCTCATATTTTATGTTTCCACCCGAAGGTAATACGCTTGAAACCGGGTAACCAAACAATCACTCGCAAAACACTCGCGTATGGTTTGGCGCAGGTGCGATTGGCTGGCAAACCAAACAGTTGGTAGGTGCAGGTGCCTGACTACCAAGCCGGGGTTGCGAGAAACAAGCAACTGCGTGTGCGACGGACTGAGAATGGGACAGACAGCCCACAACCGAGCGTATTACAGAGCTGGAAAAATATGAGACTGCAAACCTTGACAGGTTGTAGGTGGAGGAACATACTTGCATTGATTTCTCTAGCGACTAAGTCTCATTTAAGCATCTTATTTTCCCTAGGTATATTCCAGCGTCAAACGTGACAATACGTTGTACTTCTCGTTGGTCACTCCGCACCTGCTTTTACTTTTACGCACATACAGTCCGTCCATCGCCAGAGCTGGTCCTCATTATTGCAATAATACGTAACACTCTATTTGGACCAAGGTGTATTGCAATGATGCTCCCCCCTGTCGAGTTTGGACGGAAGGGACACGACTGATAGGCAGCAGTTAGGACGAGATAGGAAGCGACGCGACGGAAAAGCAAGGTTTAGGACGAGATAGGAAGCGACGCGACATGGCTGGAAGCGAAGAGAAAGGGATGGGCGTGATGCGAGGTAAGGGGAGAGCCGGGACGGGAAAGGGAGGAACGGAACGGGATGCTACGAGAAAGGGTGTGGCGGGACGGGCGCGAGAATGGGAGGGAAGGGACTGGAGGGGAGGTAAGGGGTGAGAAGGACGTCCGGGATGCGATGAGAAGGACGTGAGGGACGCGCCGGGAAAGGACGGGACGGGACGGGACGGACTTGACGGGATGAGAAGGAAAAGAGATGTGAGGGGATGGGACGGGACGGGACATGACGGAACGGGATGGGACGGGACATGACGGGACGGGATGGGACGGGATGGGACGGGATGTATGACGGGACGGAGCGGGAGGGAACGCGGAGCGGGACTGGCGGGAGGAAACGTAGGAAACGCGTCGATCCCCATCCCCCTTTCCCTTCCCGCATCCCCTTTCCCTTTCCCCATCCGCCTTCCCCTCCCCCATCCCCCTTCTCTTTCCCCATCCCCCTTCCCTTCCCGCATCCCCTTTCCCTTTCCCCATCCGCCTTCCCTTTCCCCATCCCCTTCTCTTTCCCTATCCCCCTTCCCTTCCCCCTGACAAACCATATATGCGCTAGTTGTGTGTAGGCTATAGTGGGGTAGCCCATGTGGGGTACAACCCAATATTGGGGTTAATACTTGTACCCACAATTCATTCAATGCAATAATTCTTGCTTGCTATTTTGACATGGTATCAGAGCAGTAGGTCCGTAGGACCGTTTTTTTTTTTTTTTCCGGGCCCACCATACTTAGCGACCGACTGCGGTTATCGCGTTACCCCACTACCCTGCGTCTCGCTGCACCGCGCACGCCCTTCCCTGCCCCGCGTTGCGCTGCTCTGCGCACGCCCTGCCTTGCCCCGCATCGCGCTGCCTAGCGCACGCCCTGCCCTGCCCTGCCTCACGTCACCCTGCGCCAGCGCCCTGCCCTGCGCCAGCGCCCTGCCCTGCGCCAGCACCCTGCCCTGCGCCGGCGCCCTGCCCTACGCCAGCGCCCTGCCCTGCGCCAGCGCACTGCCCTGCGCCAGCGCCCTGCCCTGCGCCAGCGCCCTGCCCTGCGCCGGCGCCCTACCCTACGCCAGCGCCCTGCCCTGCGCTTGCGCCCTGACCTACGCCCGCGCTGCTGCCCTGCGCGTCGCGCCCTACGGCAGCCCGCGCGTCGCGCGCTGCTGCCCCGCGCGACGCGCCCTACGAGTCGCGCGCTACTGCCCCGCGCGTCGCGCTCTGCTGCAGCCCGCGCGTCGTGCCCTGCTGTCCTGCGCGTCGCGCCCTACAGCAGCCCGCGAGCCGCGCGCTGCTGCCCCGCGTGTCGCGCCCTGCTGCCCTGCACAGCGCGCGCCCTGCTGCCCGCGCCGCCCGAGCCGAGCGGAGTCGCTCTACCCGAGCCGATCCGCCCTGCTGCTCGTGCTACTGCTGTTGCTGGTGGAGGTGCTACTAGGAGTGCTGGAGGTGATGCAGCCTAACTTCATCGAGCCGCTCTGTTGCTCTTACTGCTGCTGCTACTCCTCGTGCTTCACTCCGTACTGCCCTAGAACTCGCGCTCCTCCTAGCTTGCCCGCCACGACTTCACCCTAAACCCAGTGGAGCCTCCGCCGGCCAGTCTACGGTCTCCGTCAGGTGCCTCGTAAGTGGCACGACACTCTGAGGACGACACTTGCGGCTCTTGGGTTTGCACCTTCCACAGCTGACCCGTCTCTGTTTCTGCGCACCGACACTTCGCTGCCGCCGTTCTACATCCTCGTGTACGTCGACGACTTGGTCTTTCCCACTGCAGACACTGAGGCTCTCGCCCTAGTGAATTCGGAGCTGCAGAAGAGACACACGTGCACAGACCTGGGTGAGCTGCGCAGCTACCTTGGCCTGCAGATAACCCGGGACAGAGCACGCCGCACCATCACACTGACTCACTCACACATGGTGCAGCAGGTCCTTTAGCGCTTCGGCTTCACTTGGTCCTCGCCAAAGTCCACTCCTCTGGCTACCGGTCACTCGCTCTTAGCTCCACCTTCGGACGAGTCCGTAGAGCCGAGTGGCGCATACCCAGAGCTAGTGGGTTGCCTCATGTACCTGATGACCTGCACTCGTCCTGACCTCGCGTACCCTCTTGGCCTTGTGGCACGCTACGTGGCTCCTGGTAGGCACCGAAAGGTGCACTTCGATGCTGCGAAGAGAGTACTGTGCTAATTGTGCAGTACATCGGGCATGGGGCTCGTGCTTGGAGGGCGGAGCTCAGTTGTCCTCACTGGGCACTCAGACGCTTCTTGGGTTGACGACCTGGCTACGCAGCGGTCGTCACAAGGTTACACGTTCAGCCTTGACTCTGGCTCTGTTTCTTAGCGGTCTACACGCTCGTTTTCTGTTCTCAGCTCCAGTTGTGAGGCTGAGATCTACGCCACAGCCATGGCTGCACAGGAGCTACGCTGGCTCACCTACTTGCTGACCGACTTGGGAGAGAGGCCTCGTTCTCCTCCAGTTCTGTATGTCGACAACAAAGATGCCATTGCCTTGTGTCAGGACCACAGATTCGAGCACATAACAAAGCACATCGCTCTGCGTTACTTCCTTGCTCGAGAGTTGCAGCAGCGTGGTCGGTTTCGTGTCGCTCACGTGCCCACCCGGGCCCACACGTATGATGTGTTCACCAAGGCCCTTCCGGCTGGTGATCATCATCGCTTCTGCACTGCTCTATGCCTGGTGCCCACGTTTCCTCACTTGTTGTAGACTCTGGTTGTACTGTGATCTATATATATGTATATATACCTGCATGTTTACTCTTGCTAGGTAGTGATCACTGTATTGTTGTTGTTGCATATATACCCTCTGCCTGTGAACTGGCCTTGTGGCCCCTTTGCTTGTGCTCGGAGTGTGGTGACGTTGTGATCCACCCTGAGCTTGCTTTGTTTTTCTTGACTGGTCTTGTGACCCCTTGTTCTCCCCCACTTTGCCTATGGGGGTGTGTTAAACCATATCTGTGCTAGTTGTGTGTAGGCTATAGTGGGTAGCCCATGTGGGGTACAACCCAATATTAGGGTTAGTACTTGTACCCACAATTCATTCAATGCAATCATTCTTGCTTGCTATCTTGACACCCCCATCCCCCTTCCCTTCCCCCACCCCCCTTCTCTTACCACATCCCCTTTCCCTTCCCCGCACCCTCCTTTCCCTTCCCCACACCCTCCTTTCCCTTCCCCGATCCCCCATTTCCTTTCCCTATCCCTCATCCCTTCCCCACACCCCCCTTTCCCTTCCCATGTGTCCCAATATCCCTTTACCCATCCCCCATCCCTTCCCCACATCCTCCTTTCCCTTCCCCCATCCCTCATCCCTTCCTTCATCCCCCTTTCCCTCCCCCTCTGCTATCACCTTCTTTTCTCTAACTGCTACCACCTCCCTTCCCCCTTTGCTGTCACCTCTCATCCCGTGCTACCAGCTCCTCCCATGCAGCCAACACTTTGCCAACCCTTCCACCTGTTTCCCCTGCTTTCTCACACTATTCCGCCAAGCAATCACCTCCCCCCTTCCTCCCTGCCTCCTTTCTTTCCCCATGCCATGCCTCACCTCGCTTTCCTCCCATGCCTCACCTCGCTTTCCTCCCATGCCTCACCTCGCTTTCCACCCACACGTCCCCATGCTGCCCCATCTCCCGTACCTCCACCTGCGCTGCCTTGCCCGTGTGGCACCCCATGGCGTCTTCCATCACCTTATGTTGATGACTCGCTGGGCAGGCCATTTCATGTCATCAATCACCACCACCTGTGCCATCCGATTCTCCACCGCCTCCATTATCCTCTATTGCTGCTCCTGCACACTGGTGCACACGAACCTTGCTGTGAAAGCACGGCGCACGACAACAAGGGCACGCAGGGAGAGAGGGGTATGTGGCGTGAGGTGAGGGGCATGGTGGAATGGGCCATGTCCCTCACCGCCTGCGATCGCCTTGCTCCTGTGTGTCCTCCACCACCCTGCGAGTGCACTCGTCCCCATCATCTGCTACCCGTGCTCTTCCCCACGCCTCCGGACCCATGACCACCACGGACTCACCCCCCTGCCACCACCTCGCGCACCATCTCATGGCGCTGATGCGCTGCAGCGTGTGCTCAATCCCCGCGCGCTTGCGCATGGCGCTGATGCGCTGCAGCGTGCGCCCAATCCCCGCGTGCTTGTCCGCTCCGAAACTCGCCACCATGCGGAGAGGGACGCTTGCAAGAAGGGTGCCTGTTGCAAGGAGCACGCGGTGAGAGCGAGGGAGAGGGAGACGATGAGGGGCGCTACCTGCAACGAAAACGAAAACGTAGCACACGGAGCTGTCGCCCACGGGGAACCGTACGACGGGGCGACGGCCGAGATCGAGAACAATCTCCACCAGCGAATGGACGGCCGGATGCCGCTGCAGACCGTCGCAAACCCGGAACCATCGTCTTCGCCAGCTCCTCTCGGAACCCCTAGGCAGGCGGAAAGTCTAGAACTGCGCGCGGCGTCGGATCAGGGAGGGACGGCCGTTCTGCAGGCGATCATGCCTCACCGAGGTGCAGTTGCGAGGCGAGACGTGTCGGATGCTACTGCGACTAGCAGCGGCGAGCAGCGCGTGGCTCTTTTTTTCGGTCTATTCAACTAGCGCTACGGAATGAGAACAAATACGAGGCTAGTGCTTCTAAGAGGGCCACGCCCAGTGGCGGTCTCTGCGGAGATAACTACTACAACGGGAGCTAGACTACGGGCTAGGCACGGGTGCTCGTGTGATCTCTGCGTTCGTTGGTCCTTAGTCGTTTTCCTAGTGCACACACAGCTTGCTTGTTCACGGGGAGAATTGGCAAGAGTTTCACTAGAGAAAGTTGACAACAATGGTACAATGAAGTTGGCATGGCAAGACTACATCAGAGCTAGCATTCAGGTCGGTCGACTGCCAGCGCAGCATGGTCGACCGCGTTCCAGCACGACTTGGTCGACCGCGATCCAGCAGTGCAAAGTCGACGGCGTGCCAACACTGCAAGTTGACGGCGTGCCAGCGTTGCTCCCGCAAAACAGCAGCACACCTACTTTGCAGGTGCTCGCAGATGATTGGCGCGCTAAGCCTCGTCACCTGCACAGCGCACACACCAAGTCAACCTGGCACTGACGACTGCATCTGATCAGCCACGTCGACCTCGGGATACCACCACCGAGGTCGGACTCGCCAACTTCGCCTGGGCGACCGTCGCACTCCTCCGCAGAACCTCGTCACCCAGGTAACCTGGTCGACCGGGCAACCACGTCGACCAGCTGCTACCGTATGTGCCCGTCGACCTCCCAAGTCGACGACCACCTCTAAGTCGACCCCACCAGGTCGACCACACCCCTGGTCGACCAGCTCCAGGTCGACGTCACTCCTCGTCGATCAGCTCCATGTCGACCAGCGCAGTTGTTAGCCGACCAGCTCCAGGTCGGCTACCCGAAGTCGGCGTTACCAAGTTGACGCCCTGCTACTCGACGCCCAACTGCTCGGCGTCCTGAGTCGAGGTCGACGTCGGCCCCTCCTCCGTCGACCACCAGGTCAGGTCGACCACCAGGTCGACATCACGCCTGGTCGACCAACCACCAAGTCGACCAGCAGGCCTGTCAACCGACCACCAAGTTGGCTGCCCCCAAGTTGGCGTCACCAAGTCGACGCCCTCCATAGGTCGACTTCCCAGGTCGACCTCCCTGAAGTCGGCGCCACCCTGAACTCGGCGCCCGTGCAGTGGCCCCCGTGCAGGTCGACCTCCTCGTCAACCAGCTCGCCCACTGCTGCAGGTCGGATGCTCCTCTCACACCCGACTACGAAGTCGGCTCCGCCCAAGCGAGGACGGGGCCAACACACAACTCCCGTAAACAGTCTCGTGGTCACGACAAGTCTCGTGGCAAGTACTTCGAATAAATAATGGTTTTGGGAAGGAGGGACTGTAGGAATGTGTTCTGACGCGGAGTGTGTAGGCTGATTTCGAGATCCGAAATGCGACCTAATAGGCTGCTATAAGGGGAGGTATATGCCGAGGAACCTACTCAGCAGAGGTACTAAGAATCACGGCTGAGTTTTGCTCTGCCTTTTCGGGTGAATGTGGGCGAATTGTACCGTATCTTGTCGTTTCAGTTGGTCGCATGGAATTGCGACTCTGCCGGAGTTGTTTTCTAGGTGTGGTAGCTTTCCATGCCTGAGGGGCTCGCTTGGCTTTTGCGTGGACGAAGTGAGGTTTCGTCTGTGTTTCCCAAACTGCTCGTCACAAAACTCGCCTATCGTTACCCAATCACAATCGCTTTAGCCCAACCAAGTGTAATACACTAGTAAATATGAGACCCAGGTTTAAATGTAGAACAATCTCTAATATGACTAATACATAACAGCTGTAGAATTTGGTGCCGCTGCATGCAGGCACACATGCATTTGTTGAATTTAGCCGAAACGAGGTGTTGGTTATGTGCGGTGACCATCAAGCTTTATGCCAGAGCTGAAAGGCTCTCTGCAAGAGGCTCTCCATCCCCCGCCATTGCCACGCTCAGCGGAACCTTCTGGAAATCATTTCTGAGCTGCCCGCACGCTGCATTTGCCTCCATGCCCCGAGTGTGCCTTACAGACGCCGTGATCCTCTGGTTCCTCAGCTCCTCCACAAACGCCATCACCTGGTCAAATGGACGCAACGAGAATGCGGAGCTTCATGACCTTTATGCACAACGACAGACCAACACACGCGATGCCAGGCTCAGAAACATTGGAATTACAGGAGGAGAGTAGACAATGCCTGGGGTACGACTTAGAAGGAGAGGGGGAGAGGAGGAGGTGAAGGAGGCGGAGGAGGCGGATGAGGAGGAGGAGGAGGAGGAGGAAGAGGAGGAGGAGGAGGAGGAGGAGGAGGAGGAGGAGGAGGAGGAGGAGGAGGAGGAGGAGGAGGAGGAGGAGGAGGAGGAGGAGGAGGAGGAGGAGGAGGATGAGGAGGTGGAGGTGGAGGAGGAGGAGGAGGAGGAGGAGGAGGAGGAGGAGGAGGAGGAGGAGGAGGAGGAGGAGGAGGAGGACCCACCCACGCACACACACACACACACACACACACACACATGACATGATGGAGCTGCACTCACATAGGGTTTGCTAGGGCGGCGATAGAGCGAGTCGGAGATGGGGTTGAAGGGGATGACGTTCACATGGTGCGCCACGCCATGGCGCCGCAGCAGCGATGCCAGCTCCCGTGCATGCTCCACCTGGTCGTTCACCCCCGCTGCACACGCGATAGCAGCACGAGATGAGGCGATGTGCAAGAGGAGATGGGGTGACGCGCAAGGGGAGATCAGATGAGTGAATGGAGGGGTTGAAACCACTTTTGAGAATTCTCGGAAGTGAATGGAGGGGTTGAGAACAAAGCAAAGAACACAGCAGCAAGTAGGTGGCGGGCTTGGCCATGTGTGCATGCGATGGTAAAGGGCAAGCAGGGCGGGAGGGAGGGCTAGCAGGGACGGAGAGGGGTACAACAAGGGCCAGAAACGGAGCAGATGGGGGAGACGAGCAGGGAGTGAGAAGAGCAGGGAGTGAGAAGAGCAGGGAGTGAGAAGAGCAGGGAGTGCAGAGGAAGGGGGTGGGAGGGAGAGCAATGCGCAGAGGGAGGGGGGGTGGAGGGAGGGCGAGAGAGCAGGCAGGCAGCGCACCGAGCAGAGTGTATTCAAAGGAGACGCGGCGGCCAGTGGTGTTGAAATAGGCACGGCAGTCCGCCAGAAGCGCCTCTATGGGGTACGCCTTGGCTGACGGTACCAGCGCCTCCCTCAGCTGCTGGTTGGGCGCGTGCAGACTGACCAGGGGAGGGGAGGAGGGGTTGACAGGCGTGAGGGCGTGTGTCAGGGCGTGAGGCAGGGCATGAGAGGGTTGGGGGAAAGGGGCGAAGAGAGCGCGCGGGCAGGGAATGATGGGTAATAAGGAGGCAATGAGCGTTTTTGAAAGGAGCAGAATATATTCGTAGGGTTGGAGTGGAGGGTGTGGGAGAGAGTGACAGGATGGGGGGAGGGGAGGTGATGTGGAACGGGATGATAATGGGGGTGCGAAGGGAGGCAGGGATTGGGTTGGAAGGGCTACTGAAGACGAGGGAAGTGGTGGTGCATGCACGGTGCTTCTTGGATGAGATGCCACTGGGACCATGTACACGACCAGAGGTAGAGAAAGAGAAAGCGCACAACAAGAGCAGAGCAAGAGCAGAGCAAGAGCAGAGCAAGAGCAGAGCAAGAGCAGAGCAAGAGCAGAGCAAGAGCAGAGCAAGAGCAGAGCAAGAGCAGAGCAGGAGCAGAGCAAGAGAGTGCATAGACCTGACTGCGAGGGTGCACTGACCTGACTGCGAGGGTGGACTGTAGCTTGTGCTGGGCGAGGCGAGCAATGGCGTTGGGCACGCCCACGGTGGATATGGTGATGTTGCGCTGCCCTATGCCCACGTCCTGGTGCCGGGATAGAGCACTCGCACGCACGCACGCATGCACCCATGCAATGCAACCAAGCACCCATGCACCCATGCAACGCAACCAAGCACCCATGCACCCATGCAACGCAACCAAGCACCCATGCACCCATGCACCCATGCACCCATGCACCCATGCAACCATGCACCCATGCAACCAGGTAAAAGGCATAGATGGAGCAGGATTGGTGGTGGCAGTACATAAGGCGTGTGGCATGCACGCATGCACAACCACGCCTCGGTCACCGCAGTGAAAGATGGGGGGATCAGGACAAGCACAGCACACACAATAAGCCCTTGCCCACCCACACATACCACCCACCCATCCACCCATCCACCCACCACCCACCCACCCACGCACCCACCCCCATCCCCACCCCGACGCCTCTCGCGCACGGACCTGGTTGAGGCACTTATGAGCGCGCAGCACAGCGGGGAGGTTGAGCAGCGGCTCGCCCATGCCCATGAAGACGATGTTGGTCACACGGTGCTGGAACAGCGCCTCCACCGCCAGCACCTGCGCCACTATCTCGTACGGCTTTAAGTTGCGCGCGAACCCGCCCTTGCCTGTCGCGCAGAAGGAGCACCGGAGGGGACAGCCCACCTGGCGGGAAAGGGGAGGACAGGGTGAGGAGGTTGTGTGCGTGAGGGGTGGGAGGGCGATGGTGTGGTTGAGCGGGTGGGTAGATGGGATGAGAGGGGGAGAACGGACGGAGAGGCCCTCCTTTACACCCCCTTCCCATCCCCATTGGTTCTCTTCGTTACACCCATTTGTCTCTCTTACCTCTCATGCGGTCTCTTCCAACCCCATTCCCCTTCCCCCCACCCCATTCACCTTAACCCCCCCACCGTCTCCCCTTTCTCCATTCACTCCCCTTTCCCCTCCCATTCCCCTTCGCCTGCACATCTCCCCTCTCCCCATACCTGCGAGGAGATGCAGGCGGTGAGGTGGTGAGCGCCCTTGCGGCTGCCCTCCATGGGAATACCCACCGCCTCCACCAGCCTGTTGTCCGTTAGCCGCAGCAGCAGCTGGCCGCAGCAAGAAGGGGGGGAGGAAGCGGGGAGGAGAGGGGGAGAAGGAGGGGGGAGATGCGCGTGATTGTGTGAAAGAGGGAGGATAACGGGGAGTGATGGACGAGGCGGGAGAGGGTGGAATTGTGGGCGCATCAGAGCGAGAGAGGTGGGGGGGATGAAGAGAAAGAGGTAGATTCAGATGCAAAAGAACAGGAGTGAGGGGACAGAGTTTGGAAATGAATAAGAGAAAAGAAGGGTGCAAAAGAGAGCAAATCAGTAAAGGAAAGGCAGAATAAGGGACAGAGTGTGGTAGAAAAGGGCAAACGGTGGGAGAGGGGGAGGGGGGGGTGTGAGCAATAGGAAAAGGGGGGATGAAGAACAGGTAATGAGGGGAAGGGGGTTGGAGGGCGCGAAGGAAGACGTAGAGGGGAGGAGAGGGGTGAGGAGCAGGAAAAGGGGAGGTGGAGAGAAGGAAAGAAAGGGGCGGAGGTGTGAGCGAGGCGAGACCTTAGCGGTGCCATCAGCAGCAGCGGCGACGTGGTGCACGGGAGGGCGCCCCACCACCACTCCCCTCTCCGACAAGCGCTCTCGAAACGCAAGCGGCACTGCCATGCGGACAGGGGGAGAGCACCACAGCGGGAGCAACAGAGGGGGAGCACCACAGGGGGAGCAACAGAGGGGGAGCATGAAGTGTAGCAGTACGCGCGCAACGATGCAAGTGCTATAACGTGCTCCATGCTGCTTCATGACCTCCCGTGACCCTCAGTCCCACCTTTCTCCCCTCCCTTTCCCCCTCTCACTCTCACTCTCACTCTCACTCTCCCTCGCACGCACGCAAACACACACAGACAAAAACACACGAATGACCCAACGCTCTCTCCCACACTCAATCCAGCTCAGCCTCGCACCCACAAACACACACACACTCCCTTGAGTATTCTCAGAATCGACCCACACTCATGGGCAGAGAGTCTCACGCTGCTTCAGCTCGCTGGGCTTGCAGCCCTCGTTGCAGCAGCTGTACACGAGCTGATGCAGAGCAGCAGCTGTCAGTAGCGGAAATGTGGGCTGCGGGGGTCTTACTTTCATGAACTCGTGCAGCGGGTACACGAACTGGAGCGCAGCTGCCGCACGCTGCCATGCCACACCCTCTCCCGTCACTCACATGTACCCCTGCATTCCCCTGCCCCCCCAACCCCCCCCCCGGACACTGCGGCTCACTCACGCTGCTTGAGCTCGCTGAGCTCACAGCGCTTGTTGGCATACACGAACTGGTGCAGCTGCATCACTATTTCACACCCCCGCCCTTCACACACATGCACCCCTCCATTTCCCTGCCCCACACCCCCCTCATCCCCCTTTCCCCTCCCTCTCACTCACGCTGCTTCAGCTCGCTGAGCTCGCAGCCCTTGTTGGCATACACGAACTGGTGCAGCTGCCGCCCCCGGTACTTTTGCTGCCAGGGGCCAGGGGCCAGGGGCGAGGGGAGAGGGGAGAGAGGAGGGAGAGGAGAGAGAGGAGAGGGGAAGGGGAGAGGGGAGAGGGGGGAGGGGAGAGGGGAGAGGGGAGAGAGGGGAGAGGGGAGAGCGGAGAGATTAGAGAGGGGTAAGGGACAAGGGGTGCAGAAGCGAGGGGAACCGGGAAAACGGATAGGGTTCAGGGTCGAAGGGCGAGAAACGAAGGGAGAGGACGGGAGGGGAGGGAATGGGAGGGGAGGGGAGGGGAGCGGAGGGACGGGGAGGGAGCGGAAGGGGAGGGTAAGGAGCGGGTGGCGCACCTCCCCGAGCGCCATGGCGAGTTGCTCCATCTCCTCCAGGCTGCGCCCCACCAACGCCTGCTCTCCGCCCTCCTCGCTCTCTTTCTTCCTGCCGCTGCTCCTGCTGCTGCTACGGCTTTTCGTTAGCTCTGCTACAGCCGCTTCCTTCTGGTCCGCTGCCACGTCACCTTCGAGCTTCCCCGCGCCCCCTTCCGCGCCCTCTTTCACTCCCCCTTTCCCCACATCCTCTTGCTCCGCTCCCCCTTGCTCTACTTCCCCCTGCTGCGCATCTCCCCGCGCCTCCGCGCGCAGCTTCTCCGTCTGCTCCTTCTGCCGCCGCTGGTTCTCCTTCTGCGCCGCCAGCCGTTCCGCCTCTCGCTCCGCCACCTCCCGCGCCAGCTCCCGCTGCAACCGCGCCTCCTGCTGCGCCAACTTCTCCGCCTCCTTTTCCGCCTGCCGCGCCGCCGCCGCGTCGCCCGCGGACCACGGGCGCTCGTTGGCGGGCGGAGGGGGGTAAACTTTGTCTAGCGGCGGGGAAGCGGGGGCAGCGCGGGCAGGGGAGCGCGACTCGGGCGGCATTCGCGGCGAGGAATCGCGGGTAGAGAAGGACGGTGGTGATGAAAAGGACCGTCTCGCGGCGGCTGGCGAATCGCGCTGCTGTCGAGAATCCTTGCCGCGAAACGAACTCCGATCCCGCTGGCTCTGATCGAACCGCTCCTGCCGCTGTCGCCGCAACTCGCGCACCTCCTCGTCCAGCTCCATGCCGTGTCGCAGGAGAATCGCCTGCGCGTCGCGAGGGTCGCGCACCGGTCGCCCATCCTTCGTGAACGACTGCCCCCTGCCGTTCGCTGTGGGTCGATCCCGATCAGGCGAGGCGAAAGATGATGGGCGGGAATTCGGGTAACCATAGCGAGTTCTTTCGTCACCGCGGGAAGCTGAATACCCGGAGTTACCTCCGCTCCCATACCGGTTGTCCGGGTTATCGTAATCACTCCTACTTTCTCTGCGATTGTTACCTCCCCTCTCGCTTCCCCTGCCGCCTCTCGCGCTACTGCTTCTCCCGTTCGAGTACCCCCCGTCGTCGAACGATCTCTCCGCTCCGTCGCCGCCGCGCCGTCCTCCTGTCCCACCCTCGCGCCATCCTAACTCACCGGCATCCTCGCCGCCCTCCCGCCAAGCCGTCCGCTCCCTACCATAGCCTTCGCTTCTACCGCTGCCGCTGCTGCTTCTACTGCTGGGCCCGCCGCGTCCGCCTCGTTCGCCTCGTCCGCCTGGTGCTTGTCTCCCACGGCCCCGCTCGCTATCGCGCCCAGAAGGATACTCGCTGCTGGGCCACGCCGCACGGTTACTATCACTACTGTTGTACGCACAGCAGTGTATGCTCCGACTGCTGCTATTCGCGCTGTTCACCCCCCGAAACCCGAAACCCTCGGGAGGAATAGAGCTCGGGGATACGGTATTAACCCGCCTGTTCGCGTTAGAAGCGTCTCCGCTAAAGGAACGAAGATCAGGGTGGCTTGCCTCTGCGTTGGGAACTGGTGCGCGGGGCAAACTACAGACAAGCCCTGCGAGCTCGTTTTGCGATGGCGGAAGTCGGGATAAACGTGGATGAACGGTACTTGCTCCTGCTGTTAGAGATCTCCCAAAAAAAGAGCTGCTCCTGAGAGGAGGTCGCAGTCGTGGTGGCAAAGTCAGCGCAAGCACTCGCGACGCCATGGGGATTAGGAAAGCTGGGACTTGCGAAAAATGACTTGACCTTCATACTGATAACTCGCCATCAGAGAGACGAACAGAACAGCTCACATGTTCTCCATGGCAAAACAGACGATATGATGGTTGTGAGTAGCGAAGAACGGTAAGTGTGGACTCAGCCAAGGAAGATGAATCCTTAATCACAAATCGAAGAGAGAACTATGCAAGCCCTCTGTTACGAGTGCAATTGAGTGAACGAACGAGAATTGCACTATCGAAGCAAGAGTACAATGAGCGAAGGCATGAGCGAAGAATATATAGCGAGACTACAGTGGTAACGGTAATGCACTGTGGTTGTCGCGCGACGGGCCTGGGACTGAGGTTGGGAAAAGTGTCGAAGCGGAGGCCCGGAGCGCGGGTTACCCGCCGAGCCGTGAGGTCGGGGTGCGACGTGCGAAGGTGGCGGGCGGATTGTCGATGCGAGGATTGCGAGTGGTAACGGTGCTGACTGTGGTGCTACAGTGATGTACGCGTTGAGCAGGGACGCGAAGTAAGGAAAAAGAGATTTTCCTTACACTACCCCCCCCCCTTAAGGAGGTCCTCCTTACGAAAGCGCGTGTACATCCCTGAAGTTCCGGCTGCGCAGATACTCGGTGAGGACGGGGTGGTTTTCGATTCTGTCCAGGGGAACCCAATTGTCTTCGGTGGGTGTACGGTCCTTCCAGCGGAGTAAGAACTCGATCCTTCGGGCTCCTCGAGGGTCGCGAACTCTGTGACTCAGGATTTTCTCGGGGGTGATGATTGGTTCAGTTGGTGGTCGTGTCATGCTGGCTGGGCGATTGCGTGGCAGTTGGCTCGTGGACGGGACGTAAGGGCGAAGTAGGCTGACGTGGAATGAGGGGCTGACGTACCAGTCAGCAGGGAGGAGGAGGTGGGCGGTGACGGGTGTAAGCATGTGGCTTATGCGAAATGGCCCGCAGTATCGGGGGCGGAGTTTCGAAGTGATGGGCAGTCGGAGGTTCTGAGTGTCAAGTAAAACTAAGTCGTCGGGCTGGTAAGTGACGGGTCTGCGGTGACGGTCGGCGTTGCGTTTAGCGATGATGTTCGATTTTTTTATTGCGTCTACTGCCCGGGTCCGTGCTGCTTGTAATATTTCGGCGAACTGTTGCGCGCGTGGAACCGGGTTGTCGGGATTCGGGGTCATGGGTACTGTTGGGTCTTGTCCGTAATTCAGGTAAAACGGTGACTGTTGGGTCGTGGCGGATGGGGCGTTGTTGTATGCGAATTCGATGAGTGGCAGTTGCTGTTCCCACGTGTTTGGGTCGTCGCACGTGGCCCGGATGAGCTGTTCCATGGTCTGATTTGTCCGTTCTGTCTGTCCGTCTGTTTCAGGGTGGTACGATGAACTAAACTGTAGTCGCGTGCCGAACTGCTGCCACAGGTTCCGCCAGAAGTTGCTGGTGAATTTCGTGTCTCTGTCGCTGATGATCGATGCTGGTATCCCGTGCAGTCGAACGACGGTAGAGATGAAGAGGCGGGCTGTTTCTTCGGCTGTGATTGATTTTTTGCAGGTTGCGAAGTGTGCCATTTTCGTCAGTCGATCGACGACGACCAGGATCGCGTCATTTCCACTCGCCCCGGCCGGTAACCCCGTGACGAAGTCCATCGTCACCTGCTGCCAAGCACGCTCTGGAGGGGGGATTGGCTGCAACTGTCCCGCCGGCCGCTTCCGTGTTGACTTCATGATCTGGCAAGTGGGAGACGATGCCACGTGTCGCTGCACGTCGGTCAACATTTCGGGCCAGTAATAATACCGCTGCAGCTGCTGCCGTGTTTTTTCTGTGAAAGAACAAGGAATGAATGAACTAGAAAGCAGGTGGGTACAAGTAGGAAAACCTAAAAGTGTTGTACCCCATATTGTCTACCCCACTACAGCCTACACAGACTATAGCATATGAGTTTGACACACCCCCATAGGCAAAGTGGGGGAGAACAAGAGGTCACAAAACCAGTCAAGCAAAGCAAAGCAAGCTCAGGGTGGATCACAACGTCACCACACAGTCCGAGCACAAGAGCAAGGCCACAAGGCCAGTTCACATGCAAGATCATATATAAAGGTAAACAAGCAAGTGCAGGTATAGAAAGATCACAGTACAAGCAAGGTCAAGAAGTGAGCAAGTGAGGCCAAGTAGGCACAAGACCTAGCATCGTACAGAAGCGCTGATGATCACAAGGCGGAAGTGCCTTGGTAAAGATATCAGCAGTGTTGGCCTCAGAGGCCACGTAAGCAAGGCGCAGCTGACCACGCTGCTGCAGCTCACGAGCAAGGAAGTAGCGAAGAGCAATGTGCTTCGTTCTGTGCTCCAGTCTGTGCTCCCGACACAAGGCCAGCATGGCCTTGTTGTCTACGTACAGAACTGGAGGAGAACGAGGCGGCTCTCCTAGGTCAGTCAGCAGGTAGGTGAGCCAGCGTAGCTCCTGTGCAGCCATGGCCCCCGCGTAGACCTCAGCCTCACAGCTGGAGCCGAGAACAGAAGACGAGCAGGTAGACCGCCACGAAACAGAGCCGGAGCCAAGGCTGAAGGTGTAAACCTGTGACGACCGCTGCGTAGCCTGGTCGTCAGCCCAAGAAGCGTCTGCGTGACCTGTGAGGACCACTCGACGTCGCCCTCCAAGCACTAGCCCCATGCCCGACGTACTGCACAAGTAGCGCAACACCCTCTTCGTTGCAGCCATGTGCTCTGGTCGGTGTCTCCCAGGAGCAACATAGCGGGCCAAGATGCTAAGAGGGTATGCTAGGTCAGGTCGTGTGCAGGTCATCAGGTACATGAGGCAGCCAACAAGCTCTGGGTACGGGCCACTCGGCTCTACGGACTCATCCGAAGGCCGAGCTGAGAGCGAGTGGCGAGTAGACAGAGGAGTGGCCTGAGGCGAGGAGTACGTGAAGTCGAAGCGCTGAAGGACCTGCTGCACCATGTGTGACTGAGTCAGGGTAATGGTGCGCTGTGCTCTGTCCCGAGTGATCTGCAAGCCAAGGTAGCTGCGCAGTTCACCCAGGTCTGTGCACGTGTGTCTCTTCTACAGCTCGGATTTCACGTGGGCAAGTCCAGCAGTGTCAGCAGTGGCAAAGACCAAGTCGTCGACGTACACGAGGATGTAGAACGGCGGCAAAGAGGTGTCGGTGCGCAGAAACAGCGACGGGTCGGCAGTAGACGGAGCAAACCCAAGAGCCGCAAGTGTAGTCCTCAGTGTGTCGTGCCACTCACGGGGCGCCTGGCGGAGACCGTAGACTGGCCGCCGGAGGCTCCACTGGGTACCAGGAGGAAACGACCCAGTGAAGCCAGGTGGGCGGCGCAGCCAGATCTCCTCGTGCAGGCTGCCCTGCAGGAAAGCTGTGCTGAAGTCAAGAGAGTGAAGCTCGTAGTCGCGCTGAGCGGCTATGTGCAGCAGCACCCGAAGAGTGGTCATCTTCGGGGTGGGAGAGAAGGTCTGAAAGTAGTCAACTCCCTGCCGCTGACTGAAGCCTCGAGCCACGTAACGCGCCTTGAAGACAGGCGGAGAACCCGGCGGCCGCTTCACCCTGAAAATCCACATGCCACTGACGATGTTCGCCCCAGGTGGGGGAACCTCGTCGACGTAGGTGCCTGTGGACTTCCAGGAAGTGTGGACTTCCAGGAAGCCATCTCTGCGTCCATGGCTGACTGCCACTGTGAGGAGTAGGGACCCTCGATCGCCTCAGCGTACGATCGAGGAGTCGGGATGTCTGGTGCATCCGGGTCTCCCTCAGGGGCAATCAGCGTGGACACGAGATGAGGCAAAGCAGCAGCAAAACACTGGAACTCCTCCTGCCTATCCTCAAGGACGTCCGTGCTAAGAGCACACTAGCT